CACTGGCGCACACAGGGCTCGTTCCCGCTGTCAGCCAGGGGCTGGGGGCGCAGGACGCCGCAGGCAGAGCTGGGGGACAGGTCAGAGCAGGACATTCTGCAGGGCTGGCAGTGAACCTGTGGAAGGGGGTCAGTTATTCACGTTAGAGATGCATCAAACAGCCCAACAGGGTGTCAGAAGGAAATCTGGGAAGCATTTCCTATCACCTTTCTTTCTATCACACGATCCCTCGGCCAGCCTTGACTTCAGTAAAACAAAGTCAAGTTCTCTTCAGTTTTATCCAACAAAATCATGTACTTTTCAGCTGGATCTTTGGAATTTCCAGCTGGGATAATTTTGACGGTACTACACTGCTCTTAGTTGATGGTTTCTGCTTGCAAAGTTTGGTCTCTGCTGTCACAAACTCAGCAATACTCAACCAAATGCAGCCATACACAACAATGCAGATGAGTTATTTGCCTCCCAAAATATAGTCAAGTTCTTTGAAGTGCTAAAAGGCTATGGGTTTGGGATTCAAAACTCCTTGGTACACCCCTCTCCTGGGGCCTGGAGATGAATGAGAACTCAAACATCATTTCCAGCAGCAAATCTCCCCCAGGTCAGGGGCAGCCTGGAAGCAACCCGGGAGGACTCGGTGCCAAGGGACAACCCAGAGCTCCTGACAGCAAGTTGAGAGAAATTCTGCCTTACCTGGTTCCCAAAGGTGGCTGAGCTGAGGGAGGTGGATGAGCTGGGAGCAGTGGATGGAGAGACCTGGTGCAGGGAGCTTTTATAGGGCCCTGAGCTTGCCTGGGGGACGTTGGGCACCCGATGCGCGAGTTCCTAATTAGGTCCCAACCCCAAATTGCAGGACACATAATTCCTCAAAGTGCTGAAATTGTTTTTGCTTATTGCCTGTGCATTGCAGGCACTTCAAACCCACACATGGGGTGACGTGCACATTCCAGCCCAGACCTCTATTGTCTCCAGGCTTTAGGTGTGGAGTTCTTTTTTATTATTCCATTGCTTTCCAGAGCGTTAGGGGAGGAAAGAAGCTGACTTGATTTATTTAATTAGGATGATAGGAGGACACTCATTCTTTTTGTTGGGTTGAAGGTCTTTTGCTGTAATCAACAGGATACCTGGAGCCAAATGGAATTTCTTTCAGGATCTCAAATGAGGGGACAAACAACTTCTTTGTGCAGGCTCAGCACTTCTGCCCCCACCTGCTCAGTGCAAGGCAAACACAAGGACCAGGAGCATCTTTGAATGGCTTTGGTATCACAGAATCACATCATGGAATGGTTTGGGTTGGAAGGGACCTGGAAGATCATCTCATTTCTCCCCCTGCCACGGGCAGGGACACCTTCCTCTGTCTCAGGTTGATCCAACCTGCCCTTGGACACTCCCAGGGATGGAGCAGCCACAGCTTCTCTGGGCAACCCATGCCAGGGCCTCCCCTCCCTCACAGGGGACAATTTATCCCTGATATCCCACCTGAACCTGCTCTCTGTCAGCGTGCATTTTAAATAAAAAAGGCAGATTTTACTTTTAAAGTCAAAGGAAGGTCAAAAAGTGTTATAAACCACGAACTGATTACGGGAAAAACCCCAAGTGACCTCAATTTACCTGTTTAATGTGATAATCTCTGCTAATAGTGGGGTGGATACATCACCCAGGCCCACATTGTGCAGAACTATGACACAGTCTGTACAAGTTGGTAATGGGTGTTCATGAGGTGTTTGAAAATCCCTTGGAATGTCCTTGTAAAACCTTGACATGGGTTTTTGTTGTTGTTTTTTTTTTTTCTTCCAGGATAATAGCTGGGGAAATCTCCCTACGGATCTCCAGGTTTGGAAAAGCTCATAATTTATAAATAATACGTGGTGTGCAGATAAGCAGGTGGGTGATTATGATAACAGAGATAATGACAGTGTTACAGGAACAGTGTCAGCAGAGGAGGAAACCTCAGCAAAAGGCAGCTTTGGCCTTTCCCAGCAGATTCCCAGCTCCTAATTGCTCCCTGCTGAAAGATGATGGGATTAACTGCCAGAGCCTTTCAAAAAACAAGGGGTTTTTATTCCTACCACAGCTGAATTTGGGGGTTCTCCTGTACAGAACCATGGACTGGTTTGGGTTGGAGGGGACCCTGAAGATCATCTTGTCCTGGGACACTTTCCACTGTCCCAGGGTGCTCCGAGCCCATCCAACCCAGCCTTGGACACTTCCAGGGATGAGGCAGCCATGGAATAACCTGTGCCAGGGCCTCCCCACCTCTTGCAAAAGCATCTCAGTGAAATATAAATTCAGTTATTGATTCAGGAATTCAAGCTTTAAGCGGCAGTCTGAGGGTCAGAGGGAAGCTGAGGCTGTTCTGGGCACGTGTCCCAAAACCATCCCAGGATTTTGGGATTTCTGATAAACCCCTGAGCATCGTGGCTGTATAAGGCAGGAGGAGAAGGATATCAGTGATAACCAGCTCTGGTGATCCATGGTGCAACCACAGAGAGGACAGAAAATTGATATTAATGTCATGAATCATGATTTAGGATGAAAGATGCACTCACTTCACCCATCAGCCTCTCAGATGAAAGGGGTGGTGCTCCAGGAGACCTGAAATCAAGAAATAAACACCAACCCCAAGCAACAATTTCGTCACTTTGCAGAACTATCAATCCCAAAAATGTGCCCTGTCACCTAATGAGCTGCATGTTAATTAAATCAGCCTCTCCCCCCTCGGGCACTCTGCTCTGTATAAAAGCTGCCTCCACTCGGGGCTCTCCCAACATCTTCTCTTCACTCCTTCTTCCCAAGGACCTGGTGAGTCTGGAGCTGCTGTTCCCAACTCTTGGGATTCCTCTTTGCTTAACAGTTTATGGGGGGTGGAAAATTTAGCTGGGATGGTCTCCTCCATTAAAGACTGGTAGGCAAAATTTTAGGTGTTGTGGACACCTAAAAAATTGTTGTGGACAACTGTTCTCTGCCTTCAGGGTCATCACTTCATTCCAAGTTTCTTGATATGGCACAGAATTTAGTTTGTTATTGGGTTGCTTCCAGTTGTATCCATGAGGAGACGAGTTCACTGTTTATTCCTCTTCTCTGTTTGTTTAAATGGGTGACTGGAAATTATTTGGGAAATTGATCTTCGTGGTTCACAGGGCTTAGAAGCCGACCCACCATTATATCCAGATTATCCTGTTAAAAATCATCCAAAATGGTTTTAGTTGGAGATAAATGGGCATGAAAGCTCCCAGAGATCAGGCACTGGTTTAGAGGAGGACAGAGAGGGACTGAGAGATGTTGAAAATGTTCTGTAAGACATTTATTTAGGATTAAAAGGGGTGATGGAGGGAATTTAAGGAGCTGAAAAGTGAAGTGCTGGGTTTTCTTGTCAGTTGTTTGGTGTGAGGCTTTTTCATAATAGTTCAGAGCCCCAAATCAAGATGCTGTTGGCCTTAAGTGAGTTGTAAATATCTCAGTGCCCTGATTCAATGTTTGGAAATTTGAGACAACCATCTCTGCAGTTCCCTCTTAATGGTCTCATCCAACAAGCTCCCGAGCAAATCTGAGCAGACAAAGAGTCCTAATCCCTGTTTTGACAAGGATCAGCACAGAGGAGATCAGTGGCAGTGCAGAGCTAGTCATGGAATCACAACCAGCAGCACACTGGGCTCCTGGAGTCCCACTCCTGGTGGAGCCACCGACTCACTGGAGAGTCTGGCTCTTCTGCTCCAGTTCTGGTGTTTAATGGAGTTTGGCTCTTCTGCTCCAGTTCTGGTGTTTAATGGAGTTTGGCTCTTCTGCTCCAGTTCTGGTGTTTAATGGGGAAACTGCTGTGCTTCGGAGGGGCTCCAGTGAGAGGGAAGGCAGGGAACTCCTCGGCACCTTCCTATGGGTAAATCATGTCTTGCTCTTGCTCAAATCAGCTCCTGCAGATCAACCTCCAGCCCTGCAGAATGTCCTGCTCTGACCTGTACCCCAGCTCTGCCTGCGGCGTCCTGCGCCCCCAGCCCCTGGCTGACAGCGGGAACGAGCCCTGTGTGCGCCAGTGCCCCGACTCCACCACCCTGATCCAGCCTCCCCCCGTGGTTGTCACCTTCCCTGGGCCCATCCTCAGCTCCTTCCCTCAGGATTCCATCGTGGGATCTGCTGGAGCCCCCGTTCTTGGGGGCTATGGGGGCTCCCTGGGCTATGGGGGCTATGGATCCCTGGGTTATAGGGGTTATGGATCCCTGGGATATGGGGGATATGGATCCCTGGGTTATGGGGGTTATGGATCCCTGGGCTATGGGGGCTATGGATCCCTGGGCTATGGGGGCTATGGATCCCTGGGTTATGGGGGATATGGATCCCTGGGTTATGGGGGATATGGCTCCCTGGGCTATGGGGGTCTGTGGGGCTCTGGCAGATCCTATGGCTCCTGCAGCCCCTACTCCTACAGGTCCAGCAGGTACAGCCGTGGCAGCTTTGGGCCCTGCTGAGCCCCACAGGGACACCCCTGCACTGCAGACCCTGCTGAGCCCCACAGGGACACCCCTGCACTGAAGAATTTTGGCAAACGATACAACCCTGGATCCTCCACTCGGCTCCTGAGCAAGGGGCAGAGCATCAGACTTCCACTTCCACTTAAAACACAGTGGGGGCAGAATACCTCTAGAAATTCCCCTTATTTCCTCCTTCCTCTGTTTCCTCCCCTCCTCCCTGACCCTGCCAGTGGCCAAATGTGGGACTCCACCATCCGCTGGCTCCTCCCTGAAGCTGCTGCCTCCTGAGACAAGGCTGAGGGAACACCTCTGGTGAAGCACAGAGGGGTGACCTGCCTGTCTTTGCTCCTGTGGCTTTGTCCAGGGGGCCTTTCCCTCCCCTGCAATAAAACAATCCTGCATCCAACACCTGCCTCTGTTTTTCCTGTCAAAGCCCAGCCTGGGCTTTAGGGGTCCCTCGTGGTGGTCTCTCACCCCCCTCAGGACCAGGCTGAGCTGCCCTTGGTCAGAGCCCACAGCTGAGAATCCTCCCTGCCTTGTCCTTCATTGTCACCAAGCTGAAATTATCGTGTCCCTTGCACTAATTAATGCCACTGTCAGACTCCCAGCAGTCACTCCAATTATCCCCATCCAGCTGGGCACTGGAACAGGCTCCCCAGGGCAGTGGCCATGACCCCAAGCCAGAGTTCAAGGAGCCTTTGGAAAATGCTCTCAGGGACATGGTGGGATTTTGGGGTGTTCTGTGCAGGGCCAGGAGTTGGATTCGGTGATCCTTGTGGGTCCCTTCCAATCAGGATATTCTGTGACTGTTTTCACCAAGTTAATTTAGTGCTGGAATTCCTTTTAATTTCTAGTCTGCCAGACCTTGCACTAGAAATCCTCAAAGTGTCTTCAAAGACAAGGTAAAAAATGTGGCCTGAAGTTCTGTCCAAGCCTATTCTGAAAAGGAGTGAAAGGAGGAAGGTGAACAATGGGAAACACTTTTTCAGATCAGTATCAGGTGAGCAAAGATGAAGCACTACCTCTTTTTTTTGTTCAGCACTGCCATGATAACAGCTGCCTGAGGGAAGGTTTGGCTGAGCCTGTTTGTCAGCTGGGTGAAGTGAAAAGAACATGAACTAATGCACTGGAGAGGATTCACCTCTGCCTTTCTCGGAGACTCTTTCAAAGAAAAGCTCCACACACGGATGAACCATTTCTTGATCTCAGTTCTGCAAGTCAGATTTTTCACAGGTAACTTCAGTGTTCCTCCCCAAAGGGGACTGGATACCTCAGATGGCCTCGTGCTGTAAGTAATTACAGACTGAAATGGGAACCAGTCCGTGCCACTCGTGGTTTTTATTTTAAGAAAACGACATTCCATTTTTATGGATTAACAAGTGCTCACTGAGAATATTTTGACCAAGAATCCCGGAATCATTTTGGTTGGAAAAGACCTCCAGGATCATCGAGCCCCACCTTTGGCCCACCTGCAGCCAGGTGAATGTGTGTTGTGTCAGACAGTGCTCAGCACCAGACACAGCAGTGCTGAGAGCCTTTGGCACCCAGAGAGCACAGGGAGGGAGCTTTTCCTGGGGCTGGAGGCTGGGAGTGAGCTCAGGGCTGATTGCACAAGGCCCAGAGATGCCCTTTCTCAGTGCCCAGTGTCAGGTGGGGGCTGTGAGGATGGAGGGAGTTCACTGCATTCCTCACTCAGGGCTCAGTCCCGGGAAACCTCCAATTATTCCTTGACGTGGTGGCCTTGGCACATCTTTTGGGAGACTCTGGTTTATGCCCTGATAACATAAAGGAGTGGCACCAGACAGGAGGGAATCAGACTTTCAGACTGGAAAAACGAGGTGTTCTTAACTGATGGGAGGAACAGTGAGAGTGTGACTGCCAGTGACAGGGAGCAAGGCCGGGGACCTGCCGGCTCCAGGCTTCCCAAGCAGAGTCTCAGATCTCTGGATCCTTAATATGTTAACTATCTATTAAATATGTATTAATTATACATTAAATATCTATTAAACATGTATTAATTATATATTGAATACCCACTAAACATTTATTAATTATATATTTAATATCTCTTAAATATCCATACAGCTCTTCCTGTCTCCCAGTGGCAGGTCAGCTGAATGGGCTCCAGATCCTGTACCTCTACATGCTCTGGAGTGACTTTATTCTAAACAAAAATTACCAGAGTCGTAGTAATTAAAGCAGGACCTGTTAAAACAAGGGAAGGAGCACACCCAGCTTCCCTTTCACTGCAGACATGTCCCGACTTCTCCAACAGACAGGCTGAATCCAGGAAAAACCAATGGGACTAATCCTGAATAAACCAACGTGTGCAACAGAAAGGGATGAAATAAACGTTGTTGGGTTTGTCATGCTGAGTGAAACAAAGGAAAAGATTATCTGTGCTTGCTTTGGCACCGAGGGAGTTACACTTTCCCTACAGGAGGTGCAGCAGCAGCTCTGTAGGTTTTGGAGGGTGAGAGGGCAGCATCACACGTTCTTCTGAAAGGCCACAAGTGCCTAAGACACCTCTAACAGAGCTGCAATACAATAATATTATGGCCGAAATGTACCAGTGTAAACATAATTTTAAACGTGTATATATAAGAACACAAGTATTTATAAATATACTTGAAGACACTTAGTACTCCAAACACCTCATCCCAACACATTGTTGCACTTTTGTCATTGAAT